CCTAATATCCAACCTAAACCTCTCCCACTGCAACTTGAGACCATTACTCCTTCTTCTGTCCTCTGCTACCATTGAGAACAGTCTAGATCCATCCTCTTTGGAACCCCCTTTCAGGTAGTTGAAAGCAGCTATCAAATCCCCCCTCATTCTTCTCTTCTGCAGACTAAACAATCCCAATTCCCTCAGCCTCTCCTCATAAGTCATGTGCTCCAGCCCCCTAATCATTTTTGTTGCCCTCCGCTGGACTCTTTCCAATTTTTCCACATCCTTCTTGTAGTGTAGGGCCCCAAACTGGACACAGTACTCCAGATGAGGCCTCACCAATGTCGAAAAGAGGGGAATGATCACATCCCCTTGATCTGCTGGCAATGCCCCTACTTATACAGTCCAAAATGTCGTTAGCCTTCTTGGCAACAAGGGCACACTGTTGACTCATATCCAGCGTCTCGTCCACTGTAACCCCTAGGTCCTTTTCTGCAGAACTGCTGCCTAGCCATTCAGTCCCTAGTCTGTAGCAGTGCATGGGATTCTTCCTTCCTAAGTGCCAAACTCTGCACTTGTCCTTGTTGAACCTCATCAGGTTTCTTTTGGCCCAATCCTCTAATTTGTCTAGGTCCCTCTGTGTCCTATCCCTACCCTCCAGCATATCTACCACTCCTCCCGGCTTAGTGTCATCTGCAAACTTGCTGAGGGTGCAGTCCACGCCATCCTCCAGATCATTAATGAAGATATTGAACAAAACCGGCCCCAGGACCGACCTTTGTGGCACTCCGCTTGATACTGGCTGCTACCTAGACATGGAGCCATTGATCACTACCCGTGGAGCCCGACCATCTAGCCAGCTTTCTATCCACCTTACAGTCCTTCTAGATCTGCATTGAAATGCCGGTTTATAGTCCGGTTGGCACGTGGCCGGCAGAGTGTTGAGGCGCAGGACGGGGTGTGGATCGCGGGCTCGGGGAGGGACTTTGGGTATGGGAGGGGGCTTAGTAGGTGGGAGGCGGTGTGGGGTGTAGGATCCGGGGGCCAGTCACCTCGGATGGCTCCACGCAAGCGGCGACCTGTCCCGGGCTCCGGCTACTCCTAAGTGGAGGCGCGTCAGGTGGCTCGGCATGCTGCCCCCCCAGTGCCGTCTGCAGAGCTCCCATTGCCTGGCAACCATGGCCAATGGAAGCTACATGGGCGGCGCCTGTGGGAGGAGGGAGTGTGCCAAGCTGCCTGCCACACCTCCAGCTAGGAGCAGCCGGGAGAAGTTGCCACTTGCGGGGAACCGCCCGAGGTGATTGGCCCCCGGATCCGGCATCCCACACTCAGTCCCACGCCCCAACTGCCTGCCCCGAGCCCCCTGCTGCATCCAAACGTCCTCCCAGAGCCCGTAACCACACCCCTCATGCGCCCCAACCCCCAGCCCCACACTCCCTCCCGCACCCAAACTCCCTCCCTCTTAGTTAACCAGCATTTTTCATTTACCGGCACGCACTATTCTCCCAACATGCCGGATAAAACAACCTTAACTGTAATAATATTATGTGAGAACTGTACACATTGTATTCACTGTTGTAACTGAAATCGAAATATTTGAAAATTCTTTTAATCACGATTAATTTTTTGAGTTAATCGCGTGTGTTAACTGCGATTAGTTGACAGGGAGTGAACCCCTAACAGGCTGTTGCAGAAGCTGTTCAATCCCGTCAGTGGGAGGCCCTATGTTCACCAGTGACACTAGTGATCAGATGCACACGAACGTCCCTGAGTGTTTATTCCCTTGGGGTGTTTGCAGACTCTGGCACTTCAGACGAGGCTCAGCTCCGACTGGTGAACGGCCCGAGTCGCTGCGTTGGGAGGGTCGAGGTGCTTCACGACCGGTTGTGGGGAACCGTGTGTGATGACAGCTGGGACATAACTGATGCTGGAGTCGTGTGCAGGCAGCTGGGCTGTGGGACGGCGTTATCAGCCCCTGGGGGGGCTCACTTTGGACGAGGCTCTGATCCCATCTGGCTGGATAACGTTCACTGCACAGGGACAGAAGCTGCCCTCTCCGATTGCAGGGCTCGGCCTTGGGGAGAGAATAACTGTAACCACAGAGAAGATGCCGGTGTTGTGTGCTCAGGTAACCTTCATCTACCACTGTGTGTGTTGCAGGGAGCAGGGTGGGAAGCTCATTACGGGGCATTGTCCCCTCACAGCCAGGGCTGACCCCAGTATGGTGTTTGGGGCCTGTGCTTCAGGGAGCAATATGGCGATTCCACTAGGGAGCGCTCTCCTCTCAGACTGTGCTGACCATAATTCCCCTGTGAGCTTCTATGGGTCTGTGGTGCAGGGAGCGGTGTGGGGGCTCAGTAGGGGATAGTCACGCACTCCCCATGAAGTCAGTGCTGGCCCAGATGACTAGGTGACAGCTGGCTGGGACAGGGGTGGACAAACTTCAACATTGCCAAGTGATTAGCCTGGTCAGTGGCGGGGAGCCCTTGACAGGCAGTTGCTGTATGCAGAGACCGGTCAGATCCGTCGGCGGGAGGCGCTACGTTCCCGAGCGACACGAGAGATCAGATGCACAGGAACCTCCCTGAGTGTTTATTCCCTTGGGTGTTTGCAGACTCTGGCATTTCAGAAGTGGCTCAGCTCCGACTGGTGAACAGCTCGAGTCGCTGCGCTGGGAGAGTCGAGGTGCTTCACAACCAGCAGTGGGGAACCGTGTGTGATGACAGCTGGGACATAACTGATGCCGGAGTCGTGTGCAGGCAGTTGGGCTGTGGGACAGCATTATCGGCCCCAGGAGGGGCTCAATTCGGGCGAGGATCAGACCCTATCTGGCTGGATGACGTCAACTGCACAGGGACAGAAACTGCCCTCACCGTATGCAGGGCTCGGCCTTGGGGAGAGAATAACTGTAACCATGGAGAAGATGCCGGTGTTGTGTGCTCAGGTAAGTTGCATCCATCACGTCACTGTGGGTGGTGCAGGGATCGGGATGGGAAGCTATCAGCACAGACCCAGCTCTCCTGTCTGAGTCAGCGCTGACCCCAGTGCCCCAGCATGGTGCTAAGGGTCTGTACTGCAGGGAGCAGGTTCACTGTCACAGTAAGTGTCACTCTTCCCGTAGTGTCAGCGCTGACCCCATTTCCCCCACACAGTTCCACATGGCTGTGCTGCAGGGAGCGGGATGGGGGCTCAGCAGGGGGCGCTCTCCCCTAGAAGTCAATTCCGGGGCAGTGCCCCAGCACACCACGTAGGGCCTGCGCTGCAGGGAGCAGTACGTGTGTCTCTGTGAGAGACCATCTGTGGTTAAGCACCCGCTGTGGTGCCTCTGTGGTGAATGAGTGAAGTGGGTTAACTATGGAGGTGATGGAATCTCCACCCTTAGAGGTTTTTAACGCCTGGCTTGATAAACCCTTGGCTGGGTTGATTTAGTTGGGATTGATAATGCATTGAGCAGGGCATTGGACTAGATGACCTCCTGAGGTCTCTTCCAACCCTAATATTTTATGATTCTATGACCCTTCCCGTTGCTGATCGCTCTGATCCCCCTGGTCCGCTACAGCACAATGGGGTGCTGGGTAACCGTAGATCCCATTTGTGGGATTTGGGGTTGAATGGATCCTACAGCCTCTCAGGGATCCCTTTATGAAGTGTGGGGTTCCTATCCCCATCACTCCGGGTGATTTCCATCTCAGCTAATTACCCCTGAACCTGGAATATGCCCCAGTGCTGTGACTGGAGTCAGGGTTCTTCCTCACTTCCTCTCCTACACAGCCCATGAGTTTCTGTGCCTTGTCTCTCATGTACCCTGTTCCACTCCAGAGATGGCTGCATGGTAGTGGTGGGGAGTAGGGCTGTCAAGTTATTAAAAAAATAATTGTGATTAATTATGAGACAAATAATTAAACATGATTAATCACACAATTAATCGCACCTTTACACAATAATAGAATACCATTTATTTCAATTTGGGGGGATTTTTTCTGTATTTTCAAATAGATTTCAATTACAACACAGAATGCAAAGTGTACTGTGCTCACCTTATATTTATTTTTGATTACAAATGTTTTCACTGTAAAAAAGAACCAAAAGAAATAGTTTTTTCAATTCACGTCATGCAAGTACTGTTGTGCCAAGTCTTTATTAGGAAAGTTGAACTTACAAATGTAGAATGATTTACAAAAAATAACTGCAATCAGAAATAAAACAATGTAAAATTTTTGATCGTACAAGTCCACTCAGTCCTACATCTAGTTCAGCCAATCGCTCAGACAGACAAGTTTGTTTACCTTTGCAGGAGAGAATGCTGCTTGCTTCTTGTTTACAATGTTACCTGAAAGTGAGAACAGGCTTTCACAGGGCACTGTTGTAGCTGGTGTAGCAAAACATTTATGTGCCCGATGCGCTAAATATTCATATGTCCCTTCATGATTCGACCACCATTCCAGAGAACATGCGTCCATGCTGATGATGGGTTCTGCTCGATAACGATCCAAAGCAGTGGAGACTGACAAAAGTTCATTTTCATTCTCTGAGTCAGATGCCACCAGCAGAAGGTTGATTTTCTTTTTTGGTGGTTCACGTTCTGCAGTTTCCACATTGGAGTGTTGCTCTTTTAAGACTTCTGAAAGCATGCTCTACACCTCATCTCTCTTAGGTTTTGGAAGGAACTTCAGATTCTTAAACCTTGGGTCTAGTGCTGTAGCTAGCTTTAGAAATGTCACATTGGTACCTTCTTTGAGTTTTGTGAAATTTGCCGTTAAAGTGTTCTTAAAACGAACAACATGTGCTGAGTCACCACCCGAGACTACTGTAACATGAAAGATATGGCAGAATGCAGGTAAAATACATAGCAGGAGATACACAATTTTCCTCCAAGGATTTCAGTCACAAATTAGATTAACACATTACTTTTTTAACAAGCATCACAATCATGGAAGCATGTCATCTGGAATGGTGGCCAAAGCATGAAGGGGAATGGGAATATTTAGCATATCTGGTATGTAAATACTTTGCAATGCTACCTGCAAAAGCGCCACGCGAATCCCTCTTCTCACTTTTGGGTGACACTGCAAATAAGAACAAGCCAGTATTATCTCCCATAAATGTAAACAAATTTGTTTGTCTGAGCGATTGGCTGAACAAGAAGTAAGACTAGGAGGATGTGTGTAGGCTCTAAGTTTTACATTTTTTTTTTCTTTTGAATGCAGTTATGTAACAAAATAAATCTACATTTGTAAGTTGCACTTTCACAATAAAGAGATTGCACTACAGTACTTGTATGAGGTGAATTGAAAAATGCTATTTCTTTTACCATTTTTACAGTGCTAATATTTGTAATCCAAAATACCTTAAAAGCTGTTTTCTTCCGGCACTTCACCAACTGGAAAGCTCTATATGTCGGCATTTCTGATCATAGAATCATAGAATATCAGGGTTGAAAGGGACCGCAGGAGGTCATCTAGTCCAACCCCCTGCTCAAAGCAGGACCAATTCCCAACTAGATCATCCCAGCCAGGGCTTTGTCAAGCCTGACCTTAAAAACCTCTAAGGAAGGAGATTCCACCACCTCCCTAGGTAACCCATTCCAGTGCTTCACCTCCCTCCTAGTGAAAAAGGTTTTCCTAATATCCAACCTAATCCTCTCCCACTGCAACTTGAGACCATTACTCCTTCTTCTGTCCTCTGCTACCATTGAGAACAGTCTATATCCATCCTCTTTGGAACCCACTTTCAGGTAGTTGAAAGCAGCTATCAAATCCCCCCTCATTCTTCTCTTCTGCAGACTAAACAATCCCAGTTTCCTCAGCCTCTCCTCATAAGTCATGTGCTCCAGCCCCCTAATCATTTTTGTTGCCCTCCGCTGGACTCTTTCCAATTTTTCCACATCCTTCTTGTAGTGTAGGGCCCAAAACTGGACACAGTATTCCAGATGAGGCCTCACCAATGTCAAATAGAGGGGAATGATCACATCCCCTTGATCTGCTGGCAATGCCCCTACTTATACAGCCCAAAATGTCGTTAGCCTTCTTGGCAACAAGGGCACACTTTTGACTCATATCCAGCGTCTCGTCCACTGTAACCCCTAGGTCCTTTTCTGCAGAACTGCTGCCTAGCCATTCGGTTCCTAGTCTGTAGCAGTGCATGGGATTCTTCCTTCCTAAGTGCCAAACTCTGCACTTGTCCTTGTTGAACCTCATCAGGTTTCTTTTGGCCCAATCCTCTAATTTGTCTAGGTCCCTCTGTGTCCTATCCCTACCCTCCAGCATATCTACCACTCCTCCCGGTTTAGTGTCATCTGCAAACTTGCTGAGGGTGCAGTCTACGCCATCCTCCAGATCATTAATGAAGATATTGAACAAAACCGGCCCCAGGACCGACCTTTGTGGCACTCCGCTTGATACTGGCTGCTACCTAGACATGGAGCCATTGATCACTACCTGTGAAGCCCGACGATCTAGCCAGCTTTCTATCTACCTTATAGTCCTTCTAGATCTGCATTGAAATGCGGGTTTATAGTCCAGTTGGCACGTGGCAGGCAGAGTGTTGAGGCGCAGGACGGGGTGTGGATCACGGGCTCGGGGAGGGACTTTGGTGTGGGAGGGGCTTAGTAGGTGGGAGGCGGTGTGGGGTGTAGGATCCGGGGGCCAGTCACCTCGGATGGCTCCACGCAAGCGGCGACCTGTCCCGGGCTCTGGCTACTCCTAAGTGGAGGAGCGTCAGCTGGCTCGGCATGCTGCCCCCCCCAGTGCCGTCTGCAGAGCTCCCATTGCCTGGCAACCATGGCCAATGGAAGCTACATGGGCAGCGCCTGTGGGAGGAGGGAGTGTGCCAAGCTGCCTGCCACACCTCCAGCTAGGAGCAGCCGGGAGAAGTTGCCACTTGCGGGGAACCGCCCGAGGTGATTGGCCCCCGGATCCGGCATCCCGCACTCAGTCCCACACCCCAACTGCCTGCCCCGAGCCCCCTCCTGCATCCAAACGTCCTCCCAGAGCCCGTAATCCCCACCCCTCGTGCACCCCAAATCCCAGCCCCACACTCCCTCCTGCACCCAAATTCCCTCCCTCTTAGTTAACCAGCATTTTTCATTTACCGGCACGCACTATTCCCCCAACATGCCGGATAAAACAACCTTAACTGTAATAATATTATGTGAGAACTGTACATATTGTATTCTCTATTGTAACTGAAATCAATATATTTGAACATTCTTTTAATCAAGATTAATTTTTTGAGTTAATCGCGTGAGTTAACTGCGATTAGTTGACAGGGAGTGAACCCCTAACAGGCTGTTGCAGAAGCTGTTCAATCCCGTCAGTGGGAGGCCCTACGTTCACCAGTGACACTAGTGATCAGATGCACACGAACGTCCCTGAGTGTTTATTCCCTTGGGGTGTTTGCAGACTCTGGCACTTCAGAAGTGGCTCAGCTCCGACTGGTGAACAGCTCGAGTCGCTGCGCTGGGAGAGTCGAGGTGCTTCACAACCAGCAGTGGGGAACCGTGTGTGATGACAGCTGGGACATAACTGATGCCGGAGTCGTGTGCAGGCAGTTGGGCTGTGGGACAGCATTATCGGCCCCAGGAGGGGCTCAATTCGGGCGAGGATCGGACCCTATCTGGCTGGATGACGTCAACTGCGCAGGGACAGAAGCTGCCCTCTTCGATTGCAGGGCTCGGCCTTGGGGAGAGAATAACTGTAACCATGGAGAAGATGCCGGTGTTGTGTGCTCAGGTAACCTTCATCTACCACCATGTGTGTTGCAGGGAGCAGGGTGGGATGCTCATTACGGGGCATTGTCCCTTCACAGCCAGTGCTGACCCCAGTATGGTGCTTGGAACCTGTGCTTCAGGGAGCAATATGGCGATTCCACTAGGGAGCGCTCTCCTCTCAGACTGTGCTGACCCTAATTCCCCTGTGCGCTTCTATGGGTCTGTGGTGCAGGGAGACGTGTGGGGGCTCAGTAGGGGACAGTCACGCACTCCCCATGAAGTCAGTGCTGGCCCAGGTGACTAGGTGACAGCTGGCTGGGACAGGGGTGGACAAACTTCAACATTGCCCAAGTGATTAGCCTGGTCAGTGGTGGGGAGCCCTTGACAGGCAGTTGCTGTGTGCAGAGACCGATCAGATCCGTCTGCAGGAGGCGCTACGTTCCCGAGCGACACGAGAAATCAGATGCACAGGAACCTCCCTGAGTGTTTATTCCCTTGGGGTGTTTGCAGACGCTGGCATCTCAGAAGTGGCTCAGCTCCGACTGGTGAACAGCTCGAGTCGCTGCGCTGGGAGGGTCGAGGTGCTTCACAACCAGCAGTGGGGAACCGTGTGTGATGACAGCTGGGACATAACTGATGCCGGAGTCGTGTGTAGGCAGTTGGGCTGTGGGACAGCATTATCGGCTCCAGGAGGGGCTCAATTTGGGCGAGGATCAGACCCTATCTGGCTGGATGACGTCAACTGCGCAGGGACAGAAGCTGCCCTCTTCAATTGCAGTGCTCGGCCTTGGGGAGAGAATAATTGTAACCACGGAGAAGATGCCGGTGTTGTGTGCTCAGGTAACTTGCATCCATCACGTCACTGTGGGTGGTGCAGGGATCAGGCTGCGAAGCTTTCAGCACAGACCCAGCTCTCCTGTCTGAGTCAGCGCTGACCCCAGTGCCCTAGCATGGTGCTAAGGGCCTGTACTGCAGGGAGCAGGTTCACTGTCACAGTAAGTGTCACTCTTCCCGTAGCGTCAGCGCTGACCCCATTTCCCCCACACAGTTCTACAGGCCTGTACTGCAGGGAGCAGGTTCACTGTCACAGTAAGTGTCACTCTTCCCGTAGTGTCAGCCTTGACCCCATTTCCCCCACACAGTTCTACAGGCCTGTTTTGCAGGAAGCGGTATGGGGGCTCAGCAGGGGGTGCTCTCCCCTAGAAGTCAATGCTGGGCCAGTGCCCCAGCACACCACGTAGGGCTTGCGCTCCAGGGAGCAGTACGTGTGTTGCTGTGAGAGACCCTCCCCGTCGCTGATCACTCTGATCCCCCTGCTCCGCTACAGCACAATGGGGTGCTGGCTAACCGTAGATCCCATTTGTGGGATTTGGGGTTGAATGGATCCTGCAGCCCCTCAGGGATCCCTTTATGAAGTGTGGAGTTCCTATCCCTGTCACTCCGGGTGATTTCCATCTCAGCTAATTACCCCTGAACCTGGAATATGCCCCACTGCTGTGACTGGAGACAGGGTTCTTCCTCACTTCCTCTCCTACACATCCCATGAGTTTCTGTGCCCTGTCTCTCATGTACCCTGTTCCACTCCAGAGATGGCTGCATGGTAGTGGTGGGGAGTAGGGCTGTCAAGTTATAATAGTGATTATTAATGAGACAAATAATTAAACATGATTAATCACACAATTAATCGCCCCTTTACACAATAAAAGAATACCATTTATTTCAATTTTGGGGGATTTTTTTCTGCATTTTCAAATATATTGATTTCAATTACAACACAGAATACAAAGTGTACAGTGCTCACTTTATATTTATTTTTGATTACAAATGTTTTCATTGTAAAAAAGAACCAAAACAAATAGTATTTTCAATTCACGTCATATAAGTACTGTAGTGCAGTCTCTTTATCTGGAAAATTGATCATCCAAATATAGAATGATTTACAAGGAATAACTGCAATCAACAATAAAAGAATGTAAAATTTGAGATCGTACAAGTCCACTGAGTCCTACATCTTGTTCAGCCAATCGCTCAGACAGACAAGTTTGTTTACATTTGCAGGAGAGAATGCTGCTTTCTTCTTGTTTACAATGTTACCTGAAAGTGAGAACAGGCATTCGCATGGCACTGTTGTAGCTGGTGTAGCAACATATTTATGTGCCAGATGCGCTAAAAATTCTTATGTCTCTTCATGCTTCGACCACCATTCCAGAGAACATTCGTCCATGTTGATGATGGGTTCTGCTCAATAAAAATCCAAAGCAGTGCAGACTGACAAATATTCATTTTCATCATCTGAGTCACATGCAACCAGCAGAAAGTTGATTTTCTTTTTTGGTGGTTCAGCTTCTGTAATCAGTATTGGAGTGTTGCTCTTTTAAGACTTCTGGAAATATACTCCACACCTCGTCCCTCTCAGGTTTTGGAAGGCACTTCAGATTCTTAAACCTTGGGTCAAGTGCTGTAGCTAACTTTAGATATGTCACATTGGTACCTTCTTTGCGTTTCGTGAAATTTGCAGTGAAAGTGTTCTTAAAACGAACAACATGTGCTGAGTCATCATCCGAAACTACTGTAACATGAAAGATATGGCAGAATGCAGGTAAAATACATAGCAGGAGATACACAATTCTCCGCCAAGGATTTCAGTCACAAATTAAATCAACACATTACTTTTTTAACGAGCATCATCAGCATGGAAGCATGTCATCTGCAATGGTGGCCGAAGCATGAAGGGGAACGTGAAAGTTTAGCATATCTGGCACGGAAATACCTTGCAATGCTACCTACAAAAGTGCCATGCGAACGCCTCTTCTCACTTTCGGGTGACATTGCAGATAAGAAGCAGGCAGCGTTATCGCCCGTAAGTGTAAACAAACTTGTTTGTCTGAACGATTGCCTGAACAAGAAGTAAGACTGAGAGGATGTGTAGGCTCTTAAGTTTTACATTGTTTTTTTTAGAGTGCATTTATGTAACGAAAAAAATCTACATTTGTAAGTTGCACTTTCATAATAAAGACATTGCACTACAGTACTTGTATGAGGTGAATTGCAAAATACTACTTCTTTTACCACTTTTACAATGCTAATATTTGTAATCCAAAATACAGTAAAAGCTTTATTTTCCAGGACTTCACCAGCTGGAAAGCTCTATATAGTGGCATTTCTGATCTTCATTGAAATGCCGGTTTATAGTCCGGTTGGTGCGGGGCTGGCAGGGTGTTGGGGCGCAGGACGGGATGTGGAGCATGGGCTCTGACAGGGACTTGGGTGTGGGAGGGGGCTTAGTACGTGGGAGTGGGTGCAGGGTGTAGGATCCGGGGGCCGCTCACCTCGGATGGCTCTCCTCAAGCGGCGACCTGTCCCAGGCTCTGGCTACTCCTAACCAGAGGCACATCAAGCGGCTCTGTGTGCTGCCTCCATCCAGTGCTGGCTGCACAGCTCCCATTGGCTGGGAACCACGGCCAATGGGAGCTGTGGGGATGGCGCCTGCGGAAGGAGGGAGTGTGCCAAGCTCCCTGCTGCTCCTCCCCCTAGGAGCAGCCGGGACAAGTTGCCACTTGTGGGGAGATGCCTGAGCTGAGTGGCCCCCGGACACGGCACCGTGCACCCCATACTGCACCCCAGCTGCCTGCCTCGAGCCCCCCCGTACCCAAACTTCCTCCCAGACCTCGTGATCCACACCCTCTCCTGCACCCCAACCCCCAGCCCCGCACTCCCCTTGCACCCAAACTCCCTGCTTATTAGTTAACCGGCATTTTTCATTTACCTGCACCCCCCCGTTCTCCCAACATGCCGGATAAAGCAACTTCAACTGTAATAATATAAAGTGAGAACTGTACACATTGTATTCTGTGTTGTAACTGAAATCAATATATTTGAAAACATAGACAAACATCCAAAGTATTCAATAAATTTCAATTGGTATTCTATTGTTTAACAGTGCGATTAAAACTGCGATTAATCGTGATAAATTTTTTTAATCACAATTTTTTGAGTTAATTGCATGTGTTAACTGCGATTAGTTGACAGGGCGTGAACCCCTAACAGGCTGTTGCAGAGGCTGTTCAGACCCGTCAGTGGGAGGCCCTACGTTCACCAGTGACACTAGTGATCAGATGCACGGGAACCTCCCTGAGTGTTTATTCCTTTGGGGTTTTTGAACATTCTGGCATTTCAGAACCAGCTCAGCTCCGACTGGTGAACGGCCCGAGTCGCTGCGCTGGGAGGGTTGAAGTGTTTCACAACCAGCAGTGGGGAACCGTGTGTGATGACAGCTGGGACATAACTGATGCTGGAGTCGTGTGCAGGCAGCTGGGCTGTGGGACGGCGTTATCAGCCCCACGAGGAGCTCGATTTGGGCCAGGATCTGACCGTATCTGGCTGGATGACGTCAGCTGCGCAGGGACAGAAGCTGCCCTCTCCGATTGCAGGGCTAGGCCTTGGGGAGAGAATAACTGTAACCACGGAAAAGATGCTGGTGTTGTGTGCTCAGGTAACCTTCGTCTGCCACCCTGCATGTTACAGGAAGCAGGGTGGGAAGCTCATTATGGGGCATTGTCCCCTCACAGCCAGTGCTGACCCCAGCATGGTGCTTGGGGCCTGTGCTTCAGGGAGCAATATGGCGGTTCCAGTAGGGAGAGCTCTCCTTTCAGATGGTGCTGACCCCAATTCCCCTGTGTGGTTTTATGGGCCTGTGCTGCAGGGAGCGGTGTGGGGACTCAGTAGGGGATGCTCACGCTCTCCCCTTGAAGTCAGTGCTGGCCCCAGTGCCCTAGTGGACTGCTAGTGGGCCTGTGCTGTAGGTAGAGGGGTGTCATTAGGGGGCGTCTCCCTTTACAATTGTCCTGACCCTAATACCCCGGGGCGGTGCCATGGGCCCCTAGTATGAGGAAGCCTTGTCTGTGCCCGCTGTGGGGGCTGCTCTCCGACTCCCTCGGCCACAGGCCACACAAGCCGTGCCCGCTAGGCCTTGTGTTGGGGGGTGACCTCTCTCCGGGTTGGCAGTAGGCACACTTCCCCCCTCCGCCCTCCGAGGGTCCTCCTGCAGTATCCAGATCCTGTCCTCCTGGGCATTCAGAGCAGTCACAGGTCTGATACACCCAAAGGAACAGGGTCCCAAGGTGACCAGCTTAGGGTTACCATATTTAGTGCCTCCGAAAGGAGGACACTTTAAAGGGGCCCCAACCCCGCCCCC